ACTTATCTTATCCTAAGCTTGCGTAACTTCTCCTACAGCTGGGCAGAGGGGGAGCCTAGCAATACTGGTGCTCTCTGGGTATTTGGCGAACGAGGTGACCTTTGGGTACTGGCTGGACAGGAACACTGTGTCGAGATGAGCCAAAGGTATCAGTACCTCTGGAATGATGCCCACTGCGACCATACCAAACAGTGAGTACCTGGTAACTTGTATTTCTTGAGAATGAGGGGATGTCTTGAGGGTGAGGGGATGTCTTGAGGGTGAGGGGATGTCTTGAGGGTGAGGGGATGTCTTGAGAATGAGGGGATGTCTTGAGAATGAGGGGATGTCTTGAGGGTGAGGGGATGTCTTGAGAATGAGGGGTGTCTTGAGAATGAGGGGATGTCTTGAGGGTGAGGGGATGTCTTGAGAATGAGGGATGTCTTGAGGGTGAGGGGATGTCTTGAGGGTGAGGGGATGTCTTGAGGGTGAGGGGATGTCTTGAGAATGAGGGGATGTCTTGAGAATGAGGGGATGTCTTGAGGGTGAGGGGATGTCTTGAGGGGGAGGGGATGTCTTGAGAATGAGGGGATGTCTTGAGAATGAGGGGATGTCTTGAGGGTGAGGGGATGTCTTGAGAATGAGGGGATGTCTTGAGAATGAGGGGATGTCTTGAGGGTGAGGGGATGTCTTGAGAATGAGGGGATGTCTTGAGAATGAGGGGATGTCTTGAGGGTGAGGGGATGTCTTGAGAATGAGGGGATGTCTTGAGGGTGAGGGGATGTCTTGAGAATGAGGGGATGTCTTGAGAATGAGGGGATGTCTTGAGGTGGGGGGGATGTCTTGAGGGTGAGGGGATGTCTTGAGAATGAGGGATGTCTTGAGGGTGAGGGGATGTCTTGAGAATGAGGGGGTTTTCTTGAGGGTGAGGGGATGTCTTGAGAATGAGGGGATGTCTTGAGAATGAGGGATGTCTTGAGGGTGAGGGGATGTCTTGAGAATGAGGGGATGTCTTGAGAATGAGGGGATGTCTTCAGGGTGAGAGGATGTCTTGAGAATGAGGGGATGTCTTGAGGGTGAGGGGATGTCTTGAGAATGAGGGGATGTCTTGAGGGTGAGGGGATGTCTTGAGGGTGAGGGGATGTCTTGAGGGTGAGGGGATGTCTTGAGGGTGAGGGGATGTCTTGAGAATGAGGGGATGTCTTGAGAATGAGGGGATGTCTTGAGAATGAGGGGATGTCTTGAGGGTGAGGGGATGTCTTGAGAATGAGGGGATGTCTTGAGGGTGAGGGATGTCTTGAGGGTGAGGGGATGTCTTGAGGGTGAGGGGATGTCTTGAGAATGAGGGGATGTCTTGAGAATGAGGGGATGTCTTGAGGGTGAGGGATGTCTTGAGAATGAGGGATGTCTTGAGAATGAGGGGGTGTCTTGAGGGTGAGGGGATGTCTTGAGAATGAGGGGATGTCTTGAGGGTGAGGGGATGTCTTGAGGGTGAGGGGATGTCTTGAGGGTGAGGGGATGTCTTGAGAATGAGGGGATGTCTTGAGAATGAGGGGATGTCTTGAGGTGAGGGGATGTCTTGAGAATGAGGGGATGTCTTGAGGGTGAGGGGATGTCTTGAGGGTGAGGGGATGTCTTGAGAATGAGGGGATGTCTTGAGAATGAGGGGATGTCCCTTTAGGGTGAGGGGATGTCTTGAGAATGAGGGGATGTCTTGAGGGTGAGGGGATGTCTTGAGAATGAGGGGATGTCTTGAGAATGAGGGATGTCTTGAGGGTGAGGGGATGTCTTGAGGGTGAGGGATGTCTTGAGAATGAGGGGATGTCTTGAGGGTGAGGGGATGTCTTGAGAATGAGGGGATGTCTTGAGGGTGAGGGATGTCTTGAGAATGAGGGGGTGTCTTGAGAATGAGGGGGTGTCTTGAGGGTGAGGGGATGTCTTGAGAATGAGGGGATGTCTTGAGAATGAGGGATGTCTTGAGGGTGAGAGGATGTCTTGAGAATGAGGGGATGTCTTGAGGGTGAGGGGATGTCTTGAGAATGAGGGGATGTCTTGAGGGTGAGGGGATGTCTTGAGGGTGAGGGATGTCTTGAGGGTGAGGGGATGTCTTGAGGGTGAGGGGATGTCTTGAGGGTGAGGGGATGTCTTGAGAATGAGGGGATGTCTTGAGAATGAGGGGATGTCTTGAGGGTGAGGGATGTCTTGAGAATTGAGGGGATGTCTTGAGGGTGAGGGATGTCTTGAGGGTGAGGGGATGTCTTGAGGGTGAGGGGATGTCTTGAGGGTGAGGGATGTCTTGAGAATGAGGGATGTCTTGAGGGTGAGGAGATGTCTTGAGGGTGAGGGGATGTCTTGAGGGTGAGGGATGTCTTGAGGGTGAGGGGGTGTCTTGAGAATGAGGGGATGTCTTGAGAATGAGGGGATGTCTTGAGGGTGAGGGGATGTCTTGAGAATGAGGGGATGTCTTGAGAATGAGGGGATGTCTTGAGAATGAGGGAATGTCTTGAGAATGAGGGGATGTCTTTAGAATGAGGGGATGTCTTGAGGGTGAGGGGATGTCTTGAGAATGAGGGGATGTCTTGAGAATGAGGGGATGTCTTGAGGTGAGGGGATGTCTTGAGAATGAGGGGATGTCTTGAGAATGAGGGGATGTCTTGAGAATGAGGGGATTGTCTTGAGGGTGAGGGGATGTCTTGAGGGTGAGGGGATGTCTTGAGAATGAGGGGATGTCTTGAGGGTGAGGGGATGTCTTGAGAATGAGGGGATGTCTTGAGGGTGAGGGGATGTCTTGAGAATGAGGGGATGTCTTGAGAATGAGGGGATGTCTTGATAATGAGGGGATGTCTGAGGGTGAGGGAATGTCTTGAGGGTGAGGGGATGTCTTGAGGGTGAGGGGATGTCTTGAGAATGAGGGGATGTCTTGAGAATGAGGGGATGTCTTGAGGGTGAGGGGATGTCTTGAGGGTGAGGGGATGTCTTGAGAATGAGGGGATGTCTTGAGAATGAGGGGATGTCTTGAGGGTGAGGGGATGTCTTGAGGGTGAGGGGATGTCTTGAGAATGAGGGGATGTCTTGAGAATGAGGGGATGTCTTGAGGGTGAGGGGATGTCTTGAGAATGAGGGGATGTCTTGAGAATGAGGGGATGTCTTGAGGGTGAGGGGATGTCTTGAGAATGAGGGGATGTCTTGAGAATGAGGGGATGTCTTGAGAATGAGGGGATGTCTTGAGGATGAGGGGATGTCTTGAGAATGAGGGGATGTCTTGAGAATGAGGGGATGTCTTGAGAATGAGGGGATGTCTTGAGAATGAGGGGATGTCTTGAGAATGAGGGGATGTCTTGAGGGTGAGGGATGTCTTGAGAATGAGGGGATGTCTTGAGGGTGAGGGGATGTCTTGAGGGTGAGGGGATGTCTTGAGGGTGAGGGGATGTCTTGAGGGTGAGGGGATGTCTTGAGGGTGAGGGGATGTCTTGAGAATGAGGGGATGTCTTGAGGGTGAGGGGATGTCTTGAGAATGAGGGGATGTCTTGAGGTGAGGGGATGTCTTGAGGGTGAGGGGATGTCTTGAGAATGGGGGATGTCTTGAGGGTGAGGGATGTCTTGAGAATGAGGGATGTCTTGAGAATGAGGGGATGTCTTGAGGGTGAGGGGATGTCTTGAGAATGAGGGGATGTCTTAGAGGGTGAGGGGATGTCTTGAGAATGAGGGGATGTCTTGAGGGTGAGGGAATGTCTTGAGGGTGAGGGATGTCTTGAGGGTGAGGGGATGTCTTGAGAATGAGGGGATGTCTTGAGAATGAGGGGATGTCTTGAGGGTGAGGGGATGTCTTGAGGGTGAGGGGATGTCTTGAGAATGAGGGGATGTCTTGAGAATGAGGGGATGTCTTGAGGGTGAGGGGATGTCTTGAGGGTGAGGGGATGTCTTGAGAATGAGGGGATGTCTTGAGAATGAGGGATGTCTTGAGGGTGAGGGGATGTCTTGAGGGTGAGGGGATGTCTTGAGGGTGAGGGGATGTCTTGAGGGTGAGGGGATGTCTTGAGGGTGAGGGGATGTCTTGAGGGTGAGGGGATGCCTTGAAGGTGATGGAGTGAGTGTTGAGATTATTATTATAATCAAGGGTGAAGCGCTAAACCCGTAGGATTATACAGCGAACTGGAGAACAGATCCAATTCCCTAGATCAAGAGCCCCTTACCAACATCAAGGAACCTTTCTTGAGGGATGTGAGTGTTGAGAGTGAGAGGCCCTCTCATGTTATGGAAATAAGTCACTCTGACTTTTTTGGGTTATCCCAGGTTCTGTACACATATGCTGCTATGTATGATAATCTATGTAACTGTGTTTGTGTATACCTGAATAAACTTACTTACTAGCAAGTGGTATTAAGACAAACTTTATTGCAGGTTCCTGTGTAGTGTTGCTGGGGTACCTGACACTACTACTACTACCACTAGAACTACCCCAACCAGCATTACCACCACTCCAATCAACACTATTACTCCAGCTAACACTGCTACTCCAACCAATACCACTCCAACTACCACCATTCCAACTATACCTGGAGTATACCTGGTGGATGTTTTCGGGGATCAACGCCCCTCGGCCCTCTCCATGACCAGGCCTCCAACCAACACTACCACCACTAGTACACCAATCACCACCACTACTACTACTACTGCAACCACCACTACTATTCCAACCACTACCACTACTATACTAACCACCACCACTACTATACCAACGACCACCACAAGTACTCCAACCACCATCACCACTACACCAGCCACCACCACCACCAATACTACACCAACCACCACCACTACACCAACCACAACCACCACTACTACACCAACCACCACCACCACTACACCAACCACCACCACTACACCAGCCACCACCACCACCACTACTACACCAACCACCACCACCACTACACCAACCACCACTAGCTCTACACCAACCACCACCACCACTACTACTACACCAACCACCACCACTACTATTACACCAACCACCACCACCACTACTACTACTACTACACCAACCACCACCACCACTACTACTACTACACCAACCACCACCACCACTACACCAACCACCACTACTACCACCACCACTACCACCAGGAGACCTACCTGCAGCAGTGGATGGACTCAGTACGGCTCATCCTGTTACTGGTTAAGCTGGATCAGCTCCAGCTGGGTGTCAGCTAACCAACAGTGTCACAGCAAGAATTCAAACCTAGTCTCTATCTCCAGTTCCTCGGAACAGAGGTTCATTAACAGTGAGTCAACAGCCTCAAGTAACACTGGGTAAACTCTTTTCTTTTGGTGTTTTCAGTGTCGTATTTATAACGTAGAACAAAGAATGATAAGAAGCCGTTCATGAGTTAGTTGTGGATTGTTCCAGGTATGATATTGTGGGGTACTGTACTTGTGGGTTAGTTGTGGATTGTTCCAGGTATGATATTGTGGGGTACTGTACTTGTGGGTTAGTTGTGGATTGTTCCAGGTATAATATTGTGGGGTACTGTACTTGTGGGTTAGTTGTGGATTGTTCCAGGTATAATATTGTGGGTTACTGTACTTGTGTGTTAGTTGTGGATTGTTCCAGGTATAATATTGTGGGGTACTGTACTTGTGGGTTAGTTGTGGATTGTTCCAGGTATAATATTGTGGGTTACTGTACTTGTGTGTTAGTTGTGGATTGTTCCAAACCAACGTACGAGCCACAGCCCGGCTGGTCAGGAACCGACTTTAGGTGCTTGTCCAGTGCCAGCTTGAAGACAGCCAGGGGTCTGTTGGTAATCCCCCTTATGTATGCTGGGAGGCAGTTGAACAGTCTCGGGCCCCTGACACTTATTGTATGGTCTCTTAACGTGCTAGTGACACCCCTGCTTTTCATTGGGGGATGTTGCATCGTCTGCCAAGTCTTTTGCTTTCGTAGTGAGTGATTTTCGTGTGCAAGTTTGGTACTAGTCCCTCTAGGATTTTCCAGGTGTATATAATCATGTATCTCTCCCGCCTGCGTTCCAGGGAATACAGGTTCAGGAACCTCAAGCGCTCCCAGTAATTGAGGTGTTTTATCTCCGTTATGCGCGCCGTGAAGGTTCTCTGTACATTTTCTAGGTCAGCAATTTCACCTGCCTTGAAAGGTGGTGTTAGTGTGCAGCAATATTCCAGCCTAGATAGAACAAGTGACCTGAAGAGTGTCATCATGGGCTTGGCCTCCCTAGTTTTGAAGGTTCTCATTATCCATCCTGTCATTTTTCTAGCAGATGCGATTGATACAATGTTATGGTCCTTGAAGGTTACTGTACTTGTGGGTTAGTTGTGGATTGTTCCAGGTATGATATTGTGGGTTACTGTACTTGTGGGTTAGTTGTGGATTCTTCAAAGTATAATGTGGGTTAAGATTCATCTAACTAGGTATATTTCTACACCATAGGAAGGTTAGCATAGGCACCACTGGATGTTATTCGACTGGTGTGGGTGACAAACTGGGTGTAAGGGTGGAACATAACTCTAGTACCAGACTTTGAAGTGAGGTGGGATACCAGATCTTAACTTGCAAACTGAATAGCATTGAACATGAGAAAAAATGGTCTAACAGGTAACTGGTCTCCTTGTGACCTGCAGGACTGGTCTCTGGTAGCGTGTGGATTGGTCTCAACGACAGAAATCGGGAAAGTGACTATACCTGGTCTGATGGCACCTCCTACAGTTATACCAAGTGAGTCACTGATACACCCAGGTGAGTCACAGGGAAATGTGATTCATGTCATGTGAATGATGACATTCTTAGGTGAATGTTGACATTATTAGGTAATGATTATATTCTCAGGTGAATGGTGACATTCTCGGGTGAATAATGACATTATTAGCTGAACGATGACGGAGGCCTGGTCACAGACCGGGCCGCGGGGGCGTTGACCCCCGGAACTCTCTCCAGGTTAGGTGAATGGTGACATTCTCAGGTGAATGATGATAATCTCCTACTACTATTACTACTCCTCCTGCTACTACTACTACTACTACTACTAACGCACTTGTGGTGTCGACAGCTGGAACAGTGGTCAACCCAGCAGGTACAGCGGCTTCCTGGCTTGGGGGAGTCCCGAAGACTGTGTGGAAATGAGAGAGAAGTTCTCTTACAGGTGGAACGATCAGTCTTGTTCCACGAAGAACCAGTGAGTAGAACCTCTGTCGTGGTTCAGTCTTTTAAGAGGGGTGTCTAGAACCAGTAGCTAGGGGTAACTCTGTACGAGGGTTGTCTAGTAGAACTAGTAACTAGGGTTCAACTCTATATGTGGGCTGTCTAGTAGAACCAGTAACCAGGGTTCAGCTCTGTACGAGGGCTGTCTAGTAGAACCAGTAACCAGGGTTCAACTCTGTACGAGGGCTGTCTAGAAGAACCAGTAACTAGGGTTCAACTCTGTATGAGGGCTCTCTAGAACCAGTAACTAGGGTTCAACTGTCTACAGGTGATGGTTTACTGACTTACGGACTGACTACTTTACTGACTTGACTGGCTTATGTATTGACTCACTGACTCACCCAGGAGTTTACATATATATTTTTTGTTTCAGGTTCATCTGTGAACGTCCAGTGACTAGGTACAACACTTACTGGTAGTAATAATATCTCTTTCTCTCTCTATCTCTCTCTCTCTCTCTATCTCTCTCTCTCTCTCAAACATTTGTATAGTCTTCTATATACTCCCATGTACTCTAATATACTCCCAGGAACTATAATATACTCCCATGTACTCTAATATACTCCCAGGAACTATACTATACTCCCATGTACTCTAATATACTCCCAGGAACTATATACTCCCATATACTCTAATATACTCCCAGGAACTATAATATACTCCCATGTACTCTAATATACTCCCAGGAACTATATACTCCCATGTACTCTAATATACTCCCAGGAACTATAATATACTCCCATGTACTCTAATATACTCCCAGGAGCTATAATATACTCCCATGTACTCTAATATACTCCCAGGAACTATATACTCCCATGTACTCTAATATACTCCCAGGAACTATATACTCCCATGTACTCTAATATACTCCCAGGAACTATAATATACTCCCATGTACTCTAATATACTCCCAGGAACTATATACTCCCATGTACTCTAATATACTCCCAGGAACTATAATATACTCCCATGTACTCTAATATACTCCCAGGAACTATAATATACTCCCATGTACTCTAATATACTCCCAGGAACTATACTATACTCCCATGTACTCTAATATACTCCCAGGAACTATAATATACTCCCATGTACTCTAATATACTCCCATGTACTCTAATATACTCCCATGTACTCTAATATACTCCCAGGAACTACAATATACTCCCATGTACTCTAATATACTCCCATGTACTCTAATATACTCCCATGTACTCTAATATACTCCCATGTACTCTAGTTGTACCGCTGGACCACAATAACACAGGTGAGTGTTATCAATACAATGTTAATTATATTATTGACGCAGATTTAACATGTTATATCATAGTTAATAAAGCTAGTTCATGTTAATATTCTTATTTAACATGTTATATCATAGTTAATAAAGCCAGTTCATGTTAATATTCTTATTTAACATGTTATATCATAGTTAGTAAAGCCAGTTCATGTTAATATTCTTATTTAACATGTTATATCATAGTTAACAAAGCCAGTTCATGTTAATATTCTTATTTAACATGTTATATCATAGTTAATAAAGCCAGTTCATGTTAATATTCTTATTTAACATGTTATATCATAGTTAGTAAAGCCAGTTCATGTTAATATTCTTATTTAACATGTTATATCATAGTTAACAAAGCCAGTTCATGTTAATATTCTTATTTAACATGTTTTCATAGTTAATAAAGCCAGTTCATGTTAATATTCTTATTTAACATGTTATATCATAGTTAGTAAAGCCAGTTCATGTTAATATTCTTATTTAACATGTTATATCATAGTTAACAAAGCCAGTTCATGTTAATATTCTTATTTAACATGTTATATCATAGTTAATAAAGCCAGATAATGTTAATATTCTTATTTAACATGTTATATCATAGTTAATAAAGCTAGTTCATGTTAATATTCTTATTTAACATGTTATATCATAGTTAATAAAGCTAGTTCATGTTAATATTCTTATTTAACATGTTATATCATAGTTAATAAAGCTAGTTCATGTTAATATTCTTATTTAACATGTTATATCATAGTTAACAAAGCCAGATAATGTTAATATTCTTATTTAACATATTTACATTATACAGTTTAACTGCCTAGTTAGGTAGGCTCGTGTTGGTTAATAAAATAGTGGGGGAGGCGCTCAACCCGCAGGGGCTACAAGGAACCCTGGGGTAGAGTGTATTCACCTGATTGTGGCTGCAGGGGACGAGTCATAGCTCCTGGCCCCGCATCTTCACTGGTCACTGGTGTAGAGGGGGGGGGGTTGTAAAGGGAAGCAATCACGTTTGATCAGAGGAAGATGGAGAGAGGGGGGAGGTTCTAGTTCCTTGGATCGAGAGCTCTCCTCGCTCAAGGAAACATCAGATAAGGCCTATATATCAACTGAAAAAACCTATAATTCAATATAAAAGGCCTCTATGTCAATTTAAAACGCCCATACGTCAATATAACAGGCCTATACGTCAACTGAACGAGCCTATACGTCAGTTTAAAAGGTCTATACGTCAATTTAAAACCCCTATACGTCAATTTAAAAGGTCTATACGTTAATTTAAAAGGTCTATATGTATTTCAAAGGCCTATACACATTCAAATGCCTATATATATATTTAAAAGGCCTATACGTCAATTTAAAAGGCCTATATATTCACTTAAAAGGCCTATACATCAATTGTTGTTGCTAGGTACAATAATTTTTAGGCACAGACATTATAATTATCCAAGATAGGCCTAGACATGCTATAATTATCCATGATAGGCCTAGACATGTTATAATTATTCAGGATAGGTCTAGAGATGTTATAATTATCCATGATAGGCCTAGACATGTTATAATTATCCATGATAGGCCTAGACATGTTATAATTATCTATGATAGGCCTAGACATGTTATAATTATACATGATAGGCCTAGTCATGTTATAATTATCCAGGATAGGCCTAGACATGTTATAATTATCCAGGATAGGCCTAGACATGTTATAATTATCCAGGATAGGCCTAGACATGTTATAATTATCCAGGATAGGCCTAGACATGTTATAATTATCCAGGATAGGCCTAGACATGTTATAATTAACACTGAAAATTATTATATATTATTATTCTTGTTATTATTATAACATTGATAAAGAAGCAATAAACCTGAAGGGTCAAGGAGAGGTGATCAGCTACAGTTAAGTCTTATACGTACAAATAACAGTAATATATCTCTGATCAATCAGATTGTGTTTGCTTCTCTCTCTTATTACAAGTAATAATTCTAAAAATAATATATAACCAGTAATATGACAGAAAATAATTATATCAGTATGATATAAAATTTGATGAATATACTTAAATTATAGATATATATATATATATATATATATATATATATATATATATATATATATATATATATATATATATATATATATATATTTATATATATATATATATATATATATATATATATATATATATATATATATATATATATATATATATATATATATATATATATATATATATATATATATATATATATATAATATGCAATACGATCACAGTAAACAGGTGATTTCAAAATATGCAAAACAACCACTCTGAAAGAATAGAGAAATTCCAAGCGCTTTCGTGACTACTCACATTATCAAGGAACTATGAAAGTGAAGCATCCAAGGAAGCTATATAAGGGGTCTGGCCAGCACCTCACTATCAGATCCCACAACGGTTAAACACCTGACGCGCGGCGACCCAACTTGGATAGGTCCTTTGCAAAACTCACCCACAAACTATTCTACCCAAGAAAATTTAAAAATTATTATTTGTCCAGTGTATTATTAATTTCTTCCCAAATTCTATTAATTATAAATGGACCTAATTTATATAAACCAAAGGAAATATTCATATTATTGTCAAAACTGCTTTTTATGAAACAAGATTCAATTAGGAATATAATTGAATCTTGTTTCATAAAAAGCAGTTTTGACAATAATATGAATATTTCCTTTGGTTTATATAAATTAGGTCCATTTATAATTAATAGAATTTGGGAAGAAATTAATAATACACTGGACAAATAATAATTTTTAAATTTTCTTGGGTAGAATAGTTTGTGGGTGAGTTTTGCAAAGGACCTATCCAAGTTGGGTCGCCGCGCGTCAGGTGTTTAACCGTTGTGGGATCTGATAGTGAGGTGCTGGCCAGACCCCTTATATAGCTTCCTTGGATGCTTCACTTTCATAGTTCCTTGATAATGTGAGTAGTCACGAAAGCGCTTGGAATTTCTCTATTCTTTCAGAGTGGTTGTTTTGCATATATATTATATATATATATATATATATATATATTATATATATATATATATATATATATATATATATATATATATATATATATATATATATATATATATATAGAGGCTTTAATAAGTCAGTAAGTTTGACTGGTGAAGAATGCTGCTGCAGTACTTATAAGTGTTGTCTAAGTAAATATTCTGTTACTTATAATACTACAGTGTCAATATTTGACGACTTAGATCAAAAATATTTCTATTAAGAGGGAAAAGTAAGTACCAGAATGTTGTATTAATTACTGTCTGTACATCACAGTGTTGTTGATCACTACCCTCCTTACATCACAGTGTTGTTGATCACTACCCTCCTTACATCACAGTGTTGTTGATCACTACCCTCCTTACATCACAGTGTTGTTGATCACTACCCTCCTTACATCACTGTCTGCTCTTGATTCATATACTGGCATCAATTGTTGGTTATTGATGTCACAGTGTGACTTCAATAGTTATTGATGTCACAAGATGGCACTGTCAGTCAGATGAGTGACATCACAGGATGGCACTGTCATCCAGCTACTTGGGCAGGAAGGTGACACTGTTGCAGTCTTGAGGTGATAGTGTGGTTATAGTGACACTGTCATTATGATGGTGGTGGTTGTCCTGAGCCTCGGCTCTGGTGCCACCCTGCCAGCCCTGAGCCTCGGCTCTGGTGCCACTCTGCCAGCCCTGAGCCTCGGCTCTGGTGCCACTCTGCCAGCCCTGAGCCTCGGCTCTGGTGCCACTCTGCCAGCCCTGAGCCTCGTCTCTGGTGCCACTCTGCCAGCCCTGAGCCTCGTCTCTGGTGCCACTCTGCCAGTACAGATCACTGAGTGCCGGTACAAACAGCCTGGTGGTGTGGGTGTTACCGTCTCGTGTACCCACACACACACTGACCTTGTTATACCGGCCTGTGGACGGTGATTTCGGCCTCCTGTAAGTAAATTCAGATACAGGTACACATAAGTACAGTTACATAATCAGTACACATAGCAGCACATGGGTAAATTACCCACCAGAACCCAAAAAATCAAAGTAATTCTCAACCAAAGGTGAATTTGTGCAGATATTATGCTTGGGGCATCTGTAAGCATGGAATAACAGGAAAAAAAATGGGACATGCAACTTTGAGCATCCCCAAAACTGTAGCGACCTCCTGTCTAAAGGAGTGTGCCACTCCTCGGTGTCCCTGTGTAGATACTAAGCCAACCATCACTACTCCGCCACAACAACCAAATAAAAAAATCAATGAAAAAAAAAATCTTAAATACTAATAAATTTATAATTATTTATACAAAAACTGAATAACTGTAAATATAAATCCGAACTACTGGACAGAATAAGTGAGAAGAAAGCAGACATCGCAGGTTTAACAGAAACTTGACAAAAGTTACTTTTTAGCTAAAATATGCTTAGATACTAATTGAAAAAAATATCTATGAATTGGCTGACTTTTCCCATAAAATACAATCTTAATTTTAGTGCTAAGCTAGAAATAGCCCGTCAGATCGTAAATTATTAACCAGGAAAGACAGCAGTGAGGTTGGATGTCAGGGAAGACAGCCAGTGAGGCTGGATGTCAGGGAAGACAGCCAGTGAGGCTGGATGTCAGGGAAGACAGCCAGTGAGGCTGGATGTCAGGGAAGACAGCCAGTGAGGCTGGATGTCAGGGAAGACAGCCAGTGAGGCTGGATGTCAGGGAAGACAGCCAGTGAGGCTGGATGTCAGGGAAGACAGCCAGTGAGGCTGGATGTCAGGGAAGACAGCCAGTGAGGCAGGATGTCAGGGAAGACAGCCAGTGAGGCTGGATGTCAGGGAAGACAGCCAGTGAGGCTTTATGTCAGGGAAGACAGCCAGTGAGGCTGGATGTCAGGGAAGACAGCCAGTGAGGCTGGATGTCAGGGAAGACAGCCAGTGAGGCAGGATGTCAGGGAAGACAGCCAGTGAGGCAGGATGTCAGGGAAGACAGCCAGTGGGGCAGGATGTCAGGGAAGACAGCCAGTGAGGCAGTTATGTCAGGGAAGACAGCCAGTGGGGCAGGATGTCAGGGAAGACAGCCAGTGGGGCAGGATGTCAGGGAAGACAGCCAGTGAGGCAGGATGTCAGGGAAGACAGCCAGTGGGGCAGGATGTCAGGGAAGACAGCCAGTGGGGCAGGATGTCAGGGAAGACAGCCAGTGGGGCAGGATGTCAGGGAAGACAGCCAGTGAGGCAGGATGTCAGGGAAGACAGCCAGTGGGGCAGGATGTCAGGGAAGACAGCCAGTGAGGCAGGATGTCAGGGAAGACAGCCAGTGAGGCAGGATGTCAGGGAAGACAGCCAGTGAGGCAGGATGTCATGGAAGACAGCCAGTGGGGCAGGATGTCAGGGAAGACAGCCAGTGAGGCAGGATGTCATGGAAGACAGCCAGTGAGGCAGGATGTCAGGGAAGACAGCCAGTGGGGCTGGATGTCAGGGAAGACAGCCAGTGAGGCAGGATGTCATGGAAGACAGCCAGTGGGGCAGGATGTCAGGGAAGACAGCCAGTGGGGCTGGATGTCAGGGAAGACAGCCAGTGAGGCAGGATGTCATGGAAGACAGCCAGTGAGGCAGGATGTCAGGAAAGACAGCCAGTGAGGCAGGATGTCATGGAAGACAGCCAGTGAGGCAGGATGTCATGGAAGACAGCCAGTGAGGCAGGATGTCATGGAAGACAGCCAGTGAGGCAGGATGTCATGGAAGACAGCCAGTGAGGCAGGATGTCAGGGAAGACAGCCAGTGGGGCAGGATGTCAGGGAAGACAGCCAGTGAGGCAGGATGTCAGGGAAGACAGCCAGTGGGGCAGGATGTCAGGGAAGACAGCAGGAATCAACACTGTTAGAATAACCACCGGATCTAAGAAGAAAAGTTTAGATGCCAGATGTGTGATTCCTGAGTGAGTTTACTGCAGAGAATATTTTAAATGAAGCAGATTTACACCACCAAAACGTTAGTAGACTGGTAGTAGTGGTAGTTTGTGTGGTAGAGGGTGTTAGTGGACTGGTAGTGGTGGTAGTCTGGGTGGTAGAGGGTGTTAGTGGACTGGTAGTGGAGGTAGTCTGGGTGGTAGAGGGTGTTAGTGGACTGGTAGTGGTGGTAGTCTGGGTGGTAGAGGATGCTAGTGGACTGGTAGTGGTGGTAGTCTGGTTGGTAGAGGGTGCTAGTTGACTGGTAGTGGAGGTAGTCTGGGTGGTAGAGGGTGTTAGTGGACTGGTAGTGGTGGTAGTCTGGGTGGTAGAGGGTGCTAGTGGACTGGTAGTGGAGGTAGTCTGGGTGGTAGAGGGTGTTAGTGGACTGGTAGTGGTGGTAGTCTGGGTGGTAGAGGATGCTAGTGGACTGGTAGTGGTGGTAGTCTGGTTGGTAGAGGGTGCTAGTGGACTGGTAGCGGAGGTAGTCTGGTTGGTAGAAGGGACTAGCATTATTTGGGGTCTTTGAAAAGCCTGATATAAATCAAGGGGACCGAGTCTTACCCCTTGGCTACCCTTTGACATCTGCACTAAGACTCACCTGGGGGAGGGTGAAGATGGGTGGCGGCGAGGGCGGCCCTCCCCTGCTCTGGGTGACTCTGGGCAGTACTGTGTGAAGAATAACCAACATCACTGACCACAAGAATCAACCAACATCACTGACCACAAGAATCAACCACTAAACCACACTCTCAACCACCAACACGTTCATATTATCTACCACAGTTAACCAAGCTTACTTCTCGTCTGTTACGATGATTTAGCGTCTTCAACCCACAACCCAAATAGCCGGAATTAATTCTAGCAGAGTGAATACGAACACAAGTGTTCTTACACATGTATGGTTCAATTCTAGCAGAGTGAACACGAACACAAGTGTTCTTACACATGTATGGTTCAATTCTAGCAGAGTGAACACGAACACAAGTGTTCTTACACATGTATGGTTCAATTCTAACAGAGTGAACACGAACACAAGTGTTCTTACACATGTATGGTTCAATTCTAGCAGAGTGAACACGAACACAAGTGTTCTTACACATGTATGGTTCAATTCTAGCAGAGTGAACACGAACACAAGTGTTCTTACACATGTATGGTTCAATTCTAACAGAGTGAACACGAACACAAGTTTTCTTACACGTGTATGGTTCAATTCTAGCAGAGTGAACACGAACACAAGTGTTCTTACACGTGGATGGTTCAATTCTAGCAGAGTGAACACGAACACAAGTGTTCTTACACATGTATGGTTCAATTCTAGCAGAGCGAACACGAACACAAGTGTTCTCACACTTGCTTCCTGTGCCTCACAGCTGGTTCAATTGTTCCATGTTCCACTGAATGGTCGCATTATTAAAGACAAGACAAGACATGTCTGAATGGTACACTGAGGGACTTGGAACAATGGGACAAGTAACAAAAATATTGCTTTCGGTACTAACAACAGGGTTGAGTACTAACAACAGGGTTGAGTACTAACAACAGGGTTGAGTACTAACAACAGGGTTGAGTACTAACAACAGGGTTGAGTACTAACAACAGGGTTGAGTACTAACAACAGGTTTGAGTACTAACAACAGGGTTGAGTACTAACAACAGGGTTGAGTACTAACAACAGGGTTGAGTACTAACAACAGGGTTGAGTACTAACAACAGGGTTGAGTACTAACAGTAGAGTTGAGTACTAACAACAGGGTTTAGTACTAACAACAGGGTTGAGTATTAACAACAGGGTTGAGTACTAACAACAGGGTTGAGTATTAACAACAGGGTTGAGTACTAACAACAGGGTTGAGTACTAACAACAGGGTTGAGTACTAACAACAGGGTTGAGTACTAACAATAGGGTTGAGTACTAACAACAGGGGTGAGTACTAACAACATGGGTTGAGTACTAACAAATGAGTTGAGTACTAACAACAGGGTTGAGTACTAACAATAAGTTTAAGTACTAACAACAGGGTTTGAGTTTCTAAAAAGTAGAGTTGAGTACTAACAACAGGGTTTAGTACTAACAACAGGGTTGAGTACTAACAACAGGGTTGAGTACTAACAACAGGGTTGAGTACTAACAACAGGGTTGAGTACTAACAGTAGAGTTGAGTACTAACAACAGGGTTGAGTACTAACAACAGGGTTGAGTATTAACAACAGGGTTGAGTACTAGCAACTGGGTTGAGTACTAACAACAGGGTTGAGTACTAACAATAGGGTTAAGTACTAACAACAGGGTTGAGTACTAACAACAGGGTTGAGTACTAACAGTAGAGTTGGGTACTAACAACAGGGTTGAGTACTAACAACAGGGTTGAGTATTAACAACAGGGTTGAGTACTAACAATAGGGTTGAGTATTAACAACAGGGTTCATCAACAATAACAAGGGTTCAATAACAATAACAAGGGTTCAGTAACAATACCAAGGGTTCATCAACAATAACATAGGGGTTCAGTAACTTAATAACAAGGGTTCAATAACAATAACAAGGGTTCATAACAATAACAAGGGTTCAGTAACAATAACAAGGGTTCATCAACAATAACAAGGGTTCAATAACAATAACAAGGGTTCAGTAACAATAACAAGGGTTCAGTAACAATAACAAGGGTTCAATAACAATAACAATGGTTCAGTAACAATAACAAGGGTTCATCAACAATAACAAGGGTTCAATTTAAAAATAACAAGGGTTCAGTAACAATAACAAGGGTTCATCAACAATAACAAGGGTTCAGTAACAATAACAAGGGTTCAGTAACAATAACAAGGGTTCATCAACAATAACAAGGGTTCAGTAACAATAACAAGGGTTCAGTAACAATAACAAGGGTTCATCAACAATAACAAGGGTTCAATAACAATAACAAGGGTTCAGTAACAATAACAAGGGTTCAGTAACAATAACAAGGGTTCAGTAACATAACAAGGGTTCATCAACAATAACAAGGGTTCAATAACAATAACAAGGGTTCAGTAACAATAACAAGGGTTCAGTAACAATAACAAGGGTTCATCAACAATAACAAGGGTTCAATAACAATAACAAGGGTTCAGTAACAATAACAAGGGTTCAGTAACAATAACAAGGGTTCATCAACAATAACAAGGGTTCAGTAACAATAACAAGGGTTCAGTAACAATAACAAGGGTTCAGTAACAATAACAAGGGTTCATCAAAAATAACAAGGGTTCAATAACAATAACAAGGGTTCAGTAACAATAACAAGGGTTCAGTAACAATAACAAGGGTTCATCAACAATAACAAGGGTTCAGTAACAATAACAAGGGTTCATCAACAATAACAAGGGTTCAATAACAATAACAAGGGTTCAGTAACAATAACAAGGGTTCAGTAACAATAACAAGGGTTCATCAACAATAACAAGGGTTCAATAACAAGGGTTCAGTAACAATAACAAGGGTTCAGTAACAATAACAAGGGTTCAGTAACAATAAGAAGGGTTCAATAACAATAACAAGGGTTCAGTAACAATAACAAGGGTTCAGTAACAAGAACAAGGGTTCAGTAACAATAACAAGGGTTCAATAACAAGAACAAGGGTTCAGTAACAATAACAAGGGTTCAGTAGCAAGAACAAGGGTTCATCAACAATAACAAGGGTTCAGTAACAATAACAAGGGTTCAGTAACAAGAACCAGGGTTCATCAACAATAACAAGGGTTCAGTAACAAGAACAAGGGTTCAGTAACAATAACAAGGGTTCAGTAACAAGAACAAAGGTTCAGTAACAATAACAAGGGTTCATCAAGAAGAACAAAGGTTCAGTAACAAGAACAAGGGTTCAGTAACAATAAGAAGGGTTCAGTAACAATAACAAGGGTTCATCAACAAGAACAAGGGTTCAGTAACAAGAACAAGGGTTCAGTAACAATAACAAGGGTTCAGTAACAATAACAAGGGTTCAGTAACAATAACAAGGGTTCAGTAACAATAACAAGGGTTCAGCAACAATAACAAGAGTTCAGTAACAATAACAAGGGTTCAGTAACAAGAACAAGGGTTCAGCAACAATAACAAGAGTTCAGTAACAATAACAAGGGTTCAGTAACAATAACAAGGGTTCAGTAACAAGAACAAGGGTTCAGCAACAATAACAAGAGTTCAGTAACAATAACAAGGGTTCAGTAACAATAACAAGGGTTCAGTAACAAGAACAAGGGTTCAGCAACAATAACAAGAGTTCAGTAACAATAACAAGGGTTCAGTAACAATAACAAGGGTACAGTAACAATAACAAGGGTACAGTAACAATAACAAGGGTACAGTAACATGAACAAGGGTACAGTAACAATAACAAGGGTACAGTAACAATAACAAGGGTACAGTAACAATAACAAGGGTACAGTAACATGAACAAGGGTTCAGTAACAAGAACAAGGGTTCAGCAACAATAACAAGAGTTCAGTAACAATAACAAGGGTACAGTAACAATAACAAGGGTACAGTAACAATAACAAGGGTACAGTAACAATAACAAGGGTACAGTAACATGAACAAGGGTTCAGTAACAAGAACAAGGGTTCAGTAACAATAACAAGAGTTCAGTAACAAGAACAAGGGTTCAGTAACAATAACAAGGGTTCAGTAACAATAACAAGGGTTCAGTAACAAGAACAAGGGTTCAGCAACAATAACAAGAGTTCAGTAACAATAACAAGGGTACAGTAACAATAACAAGGGTACAGTAACAATAACAAGGGTACAGTAACAATAACAAGGGTACAGTAACATGAACAAGGGTTCAGTAACAAGAACAAGGGTTCAGTAACAATAACAAGAGTTCAGTAACAAGAACAAGGGTTCAGTAACAATAACAAGGGTTCAGCAACAATAACAAGAGTTCAGTAACAAGAACAAGGGTTCAGTAACAATAACAAGGGTTCAGTAACAATAACAAGGGTTCAGTAACAATAACAAGGGTTCAGCAACAAGAACAAGGGTTCATCAACAATAACAAGGGTTCAGTAACAATAACAAGGGTTCAGCAACAATAACAAGAGTTCAGTAACAAGAACAAGGGTTCAGTAACAATAACAAGGGTTCAGTAACAATAACAAGGGTACAGTAACAATAACAAGGGTTCAGCAACAATAACAAGGGTTCAGTAACAATAACAAGGGTTCAGCAACAATAACAAGGGTTCAGTAACAAGAACAAGGGTTCAGTAACAATAACAAGGGTTCAGAAACAATAACAAGGGTTCAGCAACAATAACAAGAGTTCAGTAACAAGAACAAGGGTTCAGTAACAATAACAAGGGTTCAGTAACAATAACAAGGGTACAGTAACAATAACAAGGGTACAGTAACAAGAACAAGGGTTCAGTAACAATAACAAGGGTTCAGTAACAAGAACAGAAGTGTCAGCAGGTTCTGCTGACTTCGCTGACCTTGCTGACACAGAAGATCATTTTCTTCGTCACAAGAACATGCCAAGTTCACTCCTAAGAACAAGAAAGAACATTTAACAAACAATGTCAACACAAGCAAATACTGAAGCAGGTTCTACTGGTTCATGCTAGGTTGGTTCTACTGGTTCATGCTAGGTTGGTTCTACTGGTTCATGCTAGGTTGGTTCTACTGG